CTACTCCTTCCAAAAGGAGTCATTTGGGGGGGCTCTCGGGAAAAAGGTTGGGAACCCCTGGCTCCCCTGGACAGTTTTTCAGTGGCTGCACAATAAACAGCAACATACAAATTAATGTAAATAAACAGCCAAATAATGGATCAACGCTCTCTGTCTAATATGTTCGCTAGCTGTTAGTGTTGTTGCATAGCAACCACCTCGCACTATGTTTCGTGCAGAAGGCAACGGAGGGACTATTTTATTTTGAACAGTGTGTATTTTTCTTTCATATTGCCGCACTTGGTAACCGTTTTATAAAACCAATAGCTCACTTCAGGCCGTGAGCTATTGCTGAATAGACATGGGCTTCATTGAAATAGTTTCCAATATTTGAAAACATTTAGTAGTCTAAAGGGACTGTATGTTCTGTATTGTTGCTAATTCCTAAACCTGACCATTAGTAATAATAAATCAAAGAGAAAAGGAGAGTTTGTGTGGATTAGTCCAACCTGTCTGGACAGAAACACACAGTGTGTCCTTCACTCTGTCGTTTGATGCCACTGAGTACACACACAGTGAATGTTGTAAAGAGAGTCAGGTGGAAGTCTTACTCCCGTCATACTGTCCCAGATTCCTGTCTATAACATGAACACCCTCCCACCACTGCCCCCTCACTTCCCTGTTTGGAGTGTTTGTGTTGGAGTTAAAGAGGCAGTCGACGGACACACTAACGTAGAACTAAAGAGGAAGGAGGAGAGATGGTGGGCTATTCACTGTCCGTCATTACAAGAATGCCACAGTTAAACACTGTTGTCTGATATGTCCCAGCATGCTGCAATTTATCTTTAAAAAAAGGATGTTAAACACTGGCTCAACCGTCCCTTAAGGATCCTTGAATGTGGCCAAAGTCACGGGCTAAATAGACTAAGATAAAGATGGTTTGTTATATTCCTGGAGACAGTAGTGGACAGGAGGTGCATGAACCCTAAAATACTGTCCTCAAAGTCTAAACCGAGAACACTAAGATAAACACAATTTGAATGATGAATGGTGAAGAGTAAGTACATTTGCACAAGGACTATTCAAATTTGAGGTACTTTTCTTCTTGAGGTGAATTCCATTTACTCCAAAAAAATTCAGAGGCAAAGATTGATCTTTCTACTTCACTACAGTCATGAGAAAAATGTAGTGACTTTGGAGATCCAGATTTAGATCGATACATACAGTCACAAATAATGTATACAGTATTACTTAAAGTTATGACAACACTTTACTGATCCCTCGGGGAAACTCACATGCTACAGTACCTGGAAGTGCAGTGTGCAAAAGAGAACCGATAATTATAATTTAATAATATGTGTTGTGTTATGTGAAATGGGCTGTTGTGCAGAAAGACTATTCTTGCTTTTCAACTATAAATACATTTTATTTTAATACTTTTAAACATTATTTGAGAACACTTTCGCATTTATACAGTGTACTATAAGCCTTGAGAACCAGATCTCGGGTGACGTGAAGTCATGTGACCGTGTTGTAGTTCCTTTATAGCCCAACATTATAGAGAACAGCAGTGACGCGTCCTAAAACCCGGAAGTAAACTCCTTCCGGCTCCCTCACAAAAACGCAATGCAATTTCTCCATAGGATTTTGGAAAATAGCTGGAAATAAGGTCTGTGGTTGAGACACATTTAAGAGACGGATCACGTTTTGTTCAGCCGGATAATCTCCACATGTCTACCCTACCTTTATAATTTTTTAATCATAAATCTAGTCGCCAGAAGCAAAATGCTAACGTTATGCTATCAAGGAACTACAGCCGGGTCGCTGCTTCAACATCACGCCAACTTAAGATCCATATTCAAACACACAGATTCTAAATGGTACGAGTTGAAGCGTTTGTTTGAACAGTCTGCAGGAGGCAGGGACTTGCTTTCAAGCAGAACAGGGAAACTAACTTAGAGGAGTGTTTACGTGTTCGGCGTAATGACGTACAACGGCCTCCACGACTTCTGTAGTCCTATTCAGCCACTTGGTAACAACCATCGTTTTTCAGACACGTCAACTCTTCAGGAATCACCAGTGGGGTCACTGCTGATGGATTTAAGGTCGTAGAACAAAACGTGATCCGTCTCTTCAATGTGTCTCAACCACAGACCTTATTTCAGATATTTTCCAAAACCCTGTGGAGAAACTGAATTACTTAATGTCGAAGGAACCGGAAGTGGTCAAATGCTAACTTATTTCCGGGTTTTAGGACGCGTCACTGTGGCACTCTATGACATGAATTCGATCTGAGTTGTTCCTCATATGTGTGGAATCACTCTGTGGTACAAAACAATACATCTCTACCTTTAGCTTGATTCACCAGATGCAGTTGAGACGAAGCAGGTGTGAGGACAGAGAGAAAGTAGACGTGAGGCACTTACAGTCAGAAATAGGTTAAGGAACGATCATAAATATTTAGCAACCATCATTTTTCATGTTAAAAGCAGCATTGACTCTAATCTGCTGAAGTCTTCACAGTCTCTTGATCTCACTGGGAATGAATACAGTTCAAATGAATCACACTTGATGCTTTTCTGTAGGATAAACAATGACTTTTGGGACTGTTTGATTGGCGGAGTCCATTATTCAGAGCTGTGACTTTGAATGTTGTGTGTTTATGGAGGAAAATGGCTTCATCCATGTCTTCTTCTTCTGTGGTGGTTCTACTGGCTCCCCTTCCCTGCGCTGACCAGGTAGCCTTTAGCCTTGATGATTCCCCGGCTCTTCACGATGATGGAGTAGCGCAGAACCCACTCCAGCCTCCAGATGGCGGCGCTCAGATCCTGCGTTCCCTCCTGCACCGCCTCCTGGAAGGTGGCCGCTGACATGAGCTCTGAGGAAGCAAGAGGAGATGGAGCCGTTTAAAACTCACGGGAAAACAGGACAGAGAATTAAAAAAAGGTCAATCATGGACAAAGTGGCCCAAAGACCAGGCCAGACTCTAAAGACTTTCCAAGGGGTAACAATGCTGCTGCCGGAGTACTGACTGGAAGTATTGCTGATATCATGTCTACCATCCTCTTAAAGTATAAAGGTGTTTTAACGCTTATTCAAAATAGCAGAGAAACATGCATTATTGTACTCAGGAGGGACATTGACAGAGGATTACTCAAAAAGTAGGCTACACAGTAAAAGTACTTCATAGTACTTGTGGGACTAGTGCTGAGTCCAACAGTGTCAATCTCACGAAGAACTAATGGCAAAACATATTTTTTTCCCTCATCAAACTTAGCAGACTTGTGGTAAAAATTATTTGTACAATGTTGTCCATTTTAGACAAAGGCTTATTATATTTACAGCCCTAATAACATTAATGTTCTGGGCTCAATATGTGTCTTGGCTGCTTTCGTTGTGATCGCTAAATTCACCTTGTTCAAACACTGACCCAGATCGCTGGATCACTAGAAACACCGCTGTCATCAGGCTGGCAAGGGCTGTTCCATGCTCTGCTCAACCTCCCGTCTTCCCAATGGAGTCAGTAGCGCCCCCTGCTGCCGTGGAGCATGTGCCCATGGATATATATATCTATGCATGTGCCGGCCCCTGCGGAATATTACTGCTAAAAGTCACGTGAGTGAGTCACGTGACTTTTAGCAGTAATATTCCGCCGTGAGAAGAAAAAGTTTTGTAGTTGTAAAAAAAAATGTGTGTACTTGTAAAACCTGAATTTGTCTCTGAAACATGATTTATTAGAACAATTGTATGCGTTTATTTGATAGATACGTTTTTTCTTTGCAAAACTAAATGCATTAGTTTGTAGATGGTGTTTTGTATTTGCAAACCACATTGTGTTTGTTAGTGAATCATGAGGCATTTGTAAAACCTGTTTAGTTTGTTTGTGGAGTTATGGCAGGACATTAGCTCCATTACCTGCCAACGAAAACTCTGCTACACAATTCTTATTATTATTATTGAAACATGAACGGTAAGTTTCAAATTTGTCCGGTAAAATAAATTCTGTCCGGACATTTGACCGGCGAGAAAAAAAATCCTAGCGGAAACCCTGATACAGTTGTGGTCAAAAGTTTACATACACTCGTAAAGAACACGTATTTCAATAATTTCTACAACTCTTATTTTTCTGTGATAGAGAGATTGGAGCACATACTCATTGTCACAAAACTAAAATCATGAAGTTTGGTTCTTTTAAGAATTTATAATGGCTCTTCTGAAATTGTGATCAAATCCTCTGGGTCCCCAAAAATAAGAGTTGTAGAAATGATTGAAAAGTCAAGACCGTCATGAAATACATGTTCTTGAGAGGTGTGTGCAAACTTTTGACCACAACTGTATAAAAGACATAAATAAATGCATTTTTCCACAATAGGTGACCTTTCAAAAACGTAAAGAAGAGCTTGATTTGCACCTTTGGGGTCGTTGTGTGTCAGCAGCTGGATGTCGAACTCCTTAGCGAAGGCAGTGAGGTCTGGAGGCATCACACAGCAGGAGGCCAGGTTCACCTGGTTACTGCTGGGCTTCACCTGGAGCGGAGAGAAACACAGGCCTCAGGGTTTATCATGGGCAACATCACAGAGCGGCACAAAGCTTATCGTACAAAAACACATTCCTACCTGCTTTTGGGTCACGGTCACACCACCTGATTAAATAGCTGAACAGACAATGATCTGGCTTTTGGAAAATTGTTTGAATTTCAGGTAAATTAAATATTGAAGTGTTAGTCCAAGGTGAAATGTTCAATTACATCTGTAGGAGCCAATTAACACTGTGGGGAAAAGGTAGGAACCAATGTTTGTGGATTCAGGTTCCCCCGGAAAGCCAAACGGTTTCTGACCACACACGGAGAACACACACACACACACGCAAACACAGGATTACAAACATTGGCTAAGGTATTGTGTGAAACGTAATATTATGTATGGTAAAAGGAAATAAATGGACTGTATTTAGCTGCAAAACTTTGTATCTGACTTTTATTCATGTGGCAAGCTATGTGTGCGAGGATAACGTCAAGTTAGCGGATCCTCAGAGGCTTAAAGCGTTGGCTTCAATAACTCTATAACATCAATAAGGCGTTGCTGTGATTTATGTGCAGTCTTAAAGAACGGCTATAAGTTTAACCAGCAGATGTCACTGTGTTCCCTTCTTTGGAGCCCGAAAGCTTACATCTATTTCACCAAGTCAGCACCAAACTTTAATAAGGGTTTGATTAGCCCACCACTAAACATCACTGTAGTATTTTGTATGTTGGGTACCACTTAACAATAAGACTACCCTTATAAAGGGCTTACGAATAGTTTGTAATTCATTCATTAATTAGGTTGTGAACACTTTATAAATCATTAATAAGCTTTTATAAGACATGAGATAAACAGGGCAACTGTGACCGGTTGCTTGCCAAATAGTGAGCCCACATTTATCTGTACTGCTAAGTCTTATATTGGCTACCTAGCTTACTTCGTCTCCTTCATCAGCCAGCATCCTTGGTATCTGTTGTTCACTGAGTTGATTCTCGCTAAGTAGCCAATATAAGGCTTAGTCATCTTGCCAAATAGTGAGCCTGTGTTGATGTATCTATGTTAGAACTGGTTTATAAATGGTTCTTAATGATTAATAAAGTGTTTACAACCTAATTCATAACCTATTTATAAACCCTTATGAATCCTTTATAAGGGTAGTCTTATTGTAAAGTGGTACCATATGTTGTGTGTATAACTGTGGTTTTGAGACAGTTGTGATATCATTCTTATCTTACAAGCATCTTCCAGACATGCAGTTCATATTTATTTTCTTTGAACGTTCCAATTATAATATATTACAATATCGTTGCACAAAGTAATGCTGCCTTTCCCTCTCTCTGCCTTTCAGACGTCTTGTATAAATAGTTTTCTTTGCAACAGTCCATGGGTACAACAAAAAAGCTCCTAGTGTGAACCCCGTGTCACGGATGGTCAGGTAAGTGTTCATTTGATTGAAATAGACTGAGGTTGAGACCCTCACCTGAGCCCAGTTGTAGAGCTCCTCCAGCAGGTCTTTGTCCAGGTCCGAGGTGCCGATGGCAGCGATCCTCTGGCTCCGGACCAGAGACTCCAGCTCCTCCCAGGCCGGCTGCAGGTGGGCCAAGCTCTGGTTCTCACCCTCAGCCAGCGGCCACGTCGGGGCGATGATGACGGAGTCCAGCTGCGACACCGCCAGCGTCTGACAGGCTGAGCAACAGAGAAGTACACACATCATTTACTCAAGTAGAAGTACACACATCCTTTACTTAAGTACACGCATCCTGTACTCAAGTAGAAGTACACACATCCTTTACTTAAGTACACACATCCTTTACTCAAGTAGAAGTACAGATACTCGTGTTTAAAAATAATCTGGTGAAAGTAGAAGTACTGACTAAACTTCTTTACTCAAGTCAAAGTAAAGAGGCTTTGAAATGTACTTCAGTAAAAAGTACCCATAACTAGCAGCTGTTTTAAAGAGTACCTGACCTCCCTTTATATTAATAGAACAATAATGTCATTGTTAGCTAATGAATGTTTCCATGCTGAACAACGGCAACATGACAACGTTTTCATTGGTCCCTCTTCTTTAGAGAAGACCAGGAAATGATGGATACACGGATCGTGTTCAAATCAATAGGCACGCAATGACTCTAAATAATAATGATCACGCCACCAAACACACATTCAGACTAAAGGAACCAGCCTGTTTGGAAAATGAGAGAAGTAGAAAGTACAGGTATTTGTGTTCAACATGTAAGAAGTAGAAAGTACAGGTATTTGAGTTCAACATGTAAGAAGTAGAAAGTACAGGTATTTGGGTTCAACATGTAAGAAGTAGAAAGTACAGGTATTTGTGTTCAACATGTAAGAAGTAGAAAGTTCAGGTATTTGGGTTCAACATGTACATAACTCAGTTGCACATCTTCATCTTTCATGTCCAAAACAAAGGTACATTCTTCAGCTTTATGTCCATAACACAGTTCACATTCTGTCACTTTTCATGCCATAACCAATTGTACATTCTGCATCTTTCATGACCATAACACAAGTTCACATGCTTCACTTTATGTCCATAAACACAGTGACATCTTCCATCTTTCAGTCCATAACACAGTTGTACATCTTCACTGTCATGCAGTGAAACTCGAAGTTTACATCTTCATCTTTCATGTCCATAGAACAAAGTTGTACACTCTTCATCTCTATTCATGTCCAAACTCCAAGTTGTACACTCTCCATCTTTCATCTACAACTCAAGTGTACATCTTCATCTTTTATGTCTAAACCCAAAGTGGTACATTCTGCATCTTTCATGTCCATAAACTCAAGTTGTACCTCTCATCCTTTCATCTTCATAAACCAGTTGACATCTTCATCTTCATGTCCATAAACCAAGTGTACATCTCATCCTTCAGTACCATAAACACCAAGTTGTCTTCTTCATCTTTCATGTCCATAAAACTCAGTGTACATTCTTCATCTTGTCATGTCCATAAACTCAAGGTTTACATTCTTCAATCTTTCATGCAAAACACTAAGTTGTACATTCTTCATCTTTCATGTGCCATAACCCAAGTTGTACATTCTTCATCTTTCATGTCCATAAATCCCAAGTTGTACTTCTCATCTTTTCATTTTCCGCAGTCTATTTTATCATCACCGCATTTCATAGACTAGTCTTGACCATGAGTCATGTCATTGTTCAAAACATGAGGGATGGAGGGGGGAGACAAGAGAGTATGCTCTGTACAAAAATTACAGAGAAGATAAATAGAAAGGGCGAGAGTCCTTCGCGTCGACTGCGTCGACAGACTTAGACGCGCCTTACTCTCACGCAAGGACCTCGCGAGGTTTACAGCGGTATTGCGGAGTTTCATGTGGACGGCGTTTAACCCCCTCGTGCCCGCGAGCCGGCCCTCAGTGGCTTGTGTAGGACGACGTCTTTCCCTCCGTTCAGAGTGGCTCTCGTCGTGGCTAGCTGCGTAGTGAAGATTTGAGTCTCTCTATCTTCACTTTTGCTTACGTGAAAAGCTTATCTTCCTTAATTCATTACGTTTTATAATAATTTCTTATACTCATAGGGAATGAGTTGATAACGAAAGTGATGGCGTGAGTCATATAGGCCTCAAGTGTATTAAATATTCGGCGCATTTTGTCCTAATAATAAAAACGTCTACTACAGATATTCGTAATTTTTATAGTTACTTGTGCAGAGCGAAGAACTTTTTATTATAATAAATACAAGGTATTCCGTTATGTAAGTAAAATCCCTGTATACAAGTAAAAGAAAATATCGGCCTTTACCGACTACAGCCACGGAAAAAAAAATTCGTTGTATATCGAACTTGAAAAGAGCTATAAAGGTGGTTCATTGTGCCTACACGTACGCGATACAACTCAAACTCACAACCTATGACCCAAAAACAAACACCAGCTCTCGGGTTTAAAGACGTATCAAAGTATAAAACGGTGGCAACGAAATAAGGACTAGATACTAAATACCATACAGGAAGCCAGTAAGTACCCTAAAACAGTGCCAATTAACCCTTAGGTAACACAGAATACATAACAACAAAAGTTACTTCAAACTTCTTAAACTTTCAACAACACGAAACCAAAAATAATAACGGTTGTGAGCGTCGTGGTGTGTGGTTGGAACTTAAATAGCATACACAACAGAAGATGAATTTCCCAGAGAGGACGACTACAAGTACCCCAAGAGTCACACATCACAGAGATGAATTTCTCAGGAGAGGACACTACAGTGCCACATAAGTCATCACACTCACAGAGATGAAATTCCTAGGAGAGGACGATACAAGTCCACATATAGTCATAATCCAGAGATGAAATTTCGAGGACGACCTACAAGGTCCACATATAGCAATACATCACAGAGAGAAATTTCAAGAGAGGAACGACGACAAAGTCCACATATGTCATACTCACAGAATGAAATTCTCAGGGAGAGGACGACTGTCAAGTCCGACATATAGTCGATACATGCACAGAGATGAAATTTCCTAAGGAAGGACGACCACAAGTCCACATATAGTCCATACGTCACAGAGATGAATTTCTCAGGAGAGGACGGACTACAAGTACCACATAGAGCATAATGCACTAGAATGAAATTTCAGGAGAGGACGACCACAAGTCCACAATAGTCATACACACAGAGATGAAAATTTCATTCCAGGAGAGGACGACTACAGTCCACATGATAGTCCATACACACAGAGATGAAATTTCCAGGAGAGGACGGACTACAACACACATACATCATGACATCACAGAATGGAAATTCTCAGGAGAGGACGACTACAAGTCCACATATAGCATCATCACAGGATGAAATTCCCAGGAGAGGACGACATTCCACATACAGTCATACATCACAGAGATGAATTTCTCGGAGAAGGACGACTACAAGTCCACATATAGCATACTCACAGAGATGAAATTTCCCAAGGAGAGGACGACTACAAGCCAGATTACAATACACACAGAGATGAATTTCTACGGAGGGACGACACAAGTCCACATAAGTCATACATCACAGGATGAAATTCCAGGAGAGGACGACTCAAGTCCAACATATAGTCATGACATCACAGAATGACACTGTACAGAGGTACGAATTACAAGTTTTCGAGAAACAGAGTAAGACGGACAGGACGTCTTGGAAAAGTGGGAGCCAGACTTGGCCCGGGTCAGACGAGACTAACCAGTCGACCGCATGTCCTATAATCGGAAACGCCCTGGTAAACGTGGTTTTGGATATTTGTGTTGATGTCCTTTCCTGTTGGGTTACGCATTATCCCGGGGAAAATTTCGTTTCTTGTTTCCGAATTTATTATTATAAAAGAAGACAAAACCCGATAAAGAAGGAATGTCTAGAGTTTGTAGATTAATAAGTAAAAGATGTGTATCCAGATAAACACAGAATCAAAAGAGGGAATTAAGGGGCTTCATTCGCAATCTATTACGATAAACGTATAGGTGAAGGTATGGGTTTAATGACAGTTTTAGTCTCGGTTTCCAGTCCAGAGTTTACGAATAACGTCTTCCCTTCAGTACCAATCATATTGTTTCACCTGTCGACTTATTTTGGTACACAAGCAATTCAACGTACACTAACAAAATTACTAGCCCGTGTGATAAGTCTAACGGTACTTGATAAAGTTAGTCCCTTTCAACTATCGTCGGTTTTGACCTAAAGACTGGACCGGACCTTAGTAAAATGTTTCTATTGATTCACAACAATGTTGTTCTTGTGAAGGTCCAATCCACACAGTACACTGGCCACACGGACACACAAGTAAACCTACTCGAATTCCTTCAAATCAGCTCATGAAGATGAAAGTGGTCTCAGTAAAATTGGCACCATGAAGAGAAATAGGGAGAACGAACCCAACTCTCTACATGTACACGTGCTCCCCGACCACGACTACTCCTTAGACTTATACACTATAGCGGTAGGCATCGACGCCAGACTGAAACATAACGTTAGGTTTTTTTATATTAGCGACAAACTATCAACATATCGCTGGACAGAAAGCACCGAGGAGATAAAGACATTCCACGTACGAGAACATCGCTATCTCCCGCCTTCTACGCTCGCGTCACTCTTTTCGCAAACCAGACCTAAGTCTATTTACACTCTACACACTACAAACGCACCGCAGTTCAACCCCTCCCTGCGGCGTACACCGTCATAGCCGCTTGAATGCCATCATTATTTTACATAATACTCCTACATTGTAACTACCTCGAATAGGAGACGGAAGCTATGTACTATCCTATCGTTATCGTTATGATATGTTAGTGCTATTTCTCATTACTCAGATTTCTAATGGATAACTCAAAATGACGAGTGCGATACCTTGTATGAACATATTTCCGTATTAACCGTTGTAAAATCTACAAAACAACAACAACAACAACAACAACCAACAACAACAACAATACCCAGACCGTAACGAATATAAATGGTCCAAACTAGTCTTTAACCGTAAAATACTTTAAAAACTGTGACACAATTAATTACTGACATTTCACGACTAGCAAAAAATCGGTAACTCGGGCGACGGACAAATGACCTCTTATATTGACTTATATCTTAGAGTTTCGATATGAAACCACCGTTATCTATGACACGCCGTTGACGCCGCGAGTCATGGTTCTGATATCTACATACACGTATATTAAC